TTTTTTTTTTTTTTTGGCCAGTCCTCAGGTTTGTACTCAGGGCCGGGGCACTGTCCCTGATCATCTTTTGCTTGAGACTAACACTCTACCACTGGAGCCACAGTGCCACTTCTAGCTTTTTCTGTTCATGTGGTACTGAGGAATTGAACCCAGGGCTTTGTGTATGCTAGGCAAGAACTAAGCCACATTCCCACCTTTGATTTTTTTTTGGTGGGGTGGGGGTGGTAGGGTCAGGATTGGGCTTCAATTCAGGGACAGGCTTGAACTCAGGACCTTGTACTCTTGCTCTTTCTCTCAAGGCTGGTGCTCTACCAGCCTTAAGAGAAGACTTGGGGCTAGGAACGTGGCTGAGTGGTAGAGTGCTTGCACGAGGCTCTTGGTTTGATTCCTCAGCACCACATAAACAAAAAAAAGAGAGAGAAGAAAGATTTAAGCCACACCTCCACTTTTCAGTTTTTGCTGGTTAACTGGAGATAAGAGCTCTCAAATTTGTCTGTGTGGGCTGGCTTTGAACCTTGATCCTCAGATCTCAGCCTCCTGGTAACTAGGCCCAGGACTAGATTATCACTGTTTATTCTTCCTAGGGAAAAAAAAAATTTACAAAACTCAATGTGTTGGCATAGGGATATGGCTCAAGTAGTAGAGTGCTTGCCTCATAAGCAAACCCCAGAACTAAAAAAACAAAAACAAAAACAAAAAACCCCGAAACCCTAGAAAGTGACACTGTGGTTTAAGTGGTACAGCACTTGCCTTGAGCTGAAGAGCTCAGGGATACCCAGCCCTAGAGTTCAAGCCCCACAACCGACAAAAAAATAAAACCCAAAACTCAGTTGTATAAACAAGAAAGCAGGGACCATTTATTGATCAGTGACCAGCATCCATCCAACTTATGGTGAGTTCTTAAGCTAAGCAATGGAACCCAGTGCAACACCCTTTGTTCCAGGAGATTGAGATCTAAAGGGGGAAATGTGCAAAGGATAATGAAGCCAGGAGCTAATGGCTCATGCCTGTAATCCTAGCTATTCAGGAAGCTAGGTTACTCTAAAGATCTCAGTTCAATGCCAACCAGGACAGGAAAGTCCGTGAGACTCTTATCTGCAATTAACCACCCTCTCTCCACACAAAGTGGAGCTATGGTTCAAATGGCAGAGTACTAGCCTTGAGTAAAAGCAGCACAGGATGCCAAGTACCGATGGGTCATGCCTGTAAACCTAGCTACTCAGGAGGCTGAGATCTAAGGATCGTTGTTCAAAGCTAGACTGTGCAGTAAAGTCTGTGAGAGTCTTATTTTCAATTAACCCCGGAAAACAGGAAGTAGTACTGTGCCTCAAAGTAGTAGAGCACTAGCCTTGAGTTAAAAAGCTCAGGGACAGCACCCAGGCGCTGAATTCAAGCCCCACAACTGACCAAAAAAATAAAAATCAGCGATATTTTTCAGGGAAATCCAGAAATAGTCAATTATTCCTAGCCCAATGGCAACTGGCACTGATGTATAACACCAGTGTCCAATTCTTTATGAATTGCCTCAATTCTTTATGGTATCACTCTTGCTTTTTTCTTCCAAGTTATTCAGTCCTTTATTTGGCCTTCTCTTGCCCATAGTTTAATAATTTTTAATATTTTTAATATTTCCAGGATTTCAGGCACAATCTCCACACATTCTCTCTGGGCCTCTTCATGCTTCTGGGATGATTTTCAAGTTTCACCTGAAGCCTAAGGCTCTCTTCTGAGCTCCAGCCCCTGAAGAATTTGTCAGATGTCTCTTAACCACCCACCAGACCTTCAAACCCTAAAACCCCCAAATGTAAACTGTATCCCACATACTGCCTCTCCTCTTGCTCAAGAGAACTCCATCCTGTTTCAGCTATCTCAGCAGGGAGTCACATGTGATCATATGGCGACTGACAGTTCACTGTGTGTGGAGTTCCACTGATTAGCTGTAACCTTGGACAATTTAATATTTCTCCATACTTTCCTGCCCAAATCGTGTGTGAGAAGAAAGCACAGTAATGAATGCAAAAGGCTTGCAATACAAGCTGAAAAAAACATAGAATTAATCACTCCAATAATCCTACCTCCTATCTCTCCATTCTGTTTCATTCTCTCTATCCTCCCAGGTTCTGGTTTAGTTCTGACCCTAACCTTTTACCATGATTAAAGCTGTAACAGGATCTGCCTTTTTACTTCATCTGCTTCAAAACTCCCCACAACCTCTATCCACTCTATTTGATAACAACATTATTTGAAATGCAAACCCTGCAGGGTGCTAGTGGCTCAGGCCTGTAATCCTAGAGGCTGAGATCTGAGGATCCTGGTTTGAAGCCAGCCTGGGGCAGAAAAGTCCATGAGACTCTTATCTCCAATAAACTATTTAGAAAAAGCTGGAATTGGTGCTGTGGTTCAAGTGGTAGAGCACTAGCTCAGGGACAGCACCTAGGACTGAGTGCCCCATTTCTTCACTTAAAATCTTCTCAAGCCTGTAATCTTGGCTACTCAGGAAGTTGAGATGTGAGGATCACCATTCTAAGCCAACATGAGCTGGAAAATCTGTGAGACTTACCTCCAATTAACCAGAAAAAAGCTGGAAGTAAAATTATAGTCTATGTGATAATCACTCTTGAGCTGAAAAAACTCAAAGACAATACCTAGGCTTTGAGTTCAAGCCTAGGTACCAGCACCAAAAAGAAAAAAAAAATCTTCCAATGGTTGCCCTTGCAACCTTGTCTTGCATTCTTATTTGAGATACTTAAGTAGAGGCTTAGTATCATTTGTTATAAAAACATTTGAGACAATATATGTATTCCTATCACTTATGTTTTCCAGGTTCAAAACCACTTTGTGTTTATTTGCAAAGCAAGGTATCTGGTTTGTTTTAGTATAAACTATGTATACTTTGGGAAAAAATACAACTGCTTTTTTTTTTTTGCCAATCCCTGGGCACAGGGCCTAGGTACTGTCCCTGAGCTTTTTTTTTTTTGCTCAAAGCTAGTGTTCTACAAACAAACAAACTCAGGGCCTGGACGCTGTCCCTGAGCCTCTTTGTGCTCAAGGGTAGCACTCTACCACTTGAGCCACAGAGCTACTCCCAGCTTTTTCTGTTTATGTGGTACTGAGGAATCAAACTCAGGGCTTGATGCATGCTAGGCAAATACTCTACCACGAAACCACATTCCCAGCCCTGCAACTGCTTTCTATATTACTGATTTTATCCCAAATAACTTTTGTGGGGAGTGAAGTGGGGGTCCTGGGGCTTGAATTCAGGGCCTGGGCAGGACTGTCTGAGTTCTTTTGTGTTCAAGGCTAGCATTCTACACTATGAGATACAGCTCCACTGCTAGCTTTTTGGTGTTTAATTGGAAATTAGAGTCTAATGGACTTTCCAGCTTGGGCTGGCTTTCAACCACAATCCTTAGATCTCAGCCTACTGAGGAGCTAGCATTATAGGCGCAAGCCACCAATGTCTAATTCCCAAATGAGTTTTAATTTTACCTCTATTGGACAGACAAGAGGTAGATCTAGCATTCTACCCTCATTTGAGCTCAAATGCCCTAATATGTTCTCATGATGGGTTTAGGAATATATTAAGCATAAAATAACAAACATAAAATACAAATATGTAAAAATTTTCCATTTAGCCCAAAGCAGGCCCCTTAAATTTATCATCATGCTTCATGATAGTCTGAGTTTTGAAGTTTTTATGTTTTGTTTTTGGTACCAGTCATGGGGTTGAACTCAGGGACTGGGCACAGGGCCTAGGCACTGTCCCTGAATTTCTTTTTGTTCAAGGCTAGTGTTCTACCATTGGAGCTACAGCTCCACCTCCAGCTTTTTTGGTAGTTTAGTGGAGCTAGGAGTCTCACAGACATTTATGCCCAGGCTGGCTTTGAATTGCAGTCCTCAGATCTCAGCCTCCTGAGTAGCTAGGATTAACTTTTTAAGCATAAGGGAGATAGCTACAAAATACGGGAACAATTTATCTTACAAAGGTGAAGCGTTATTTGTACAACATTTGCAAGTTCAATTTAAGCCTCCGTTCCCTTTTAAAAATCCAAAAATCAGACTCTGCAAATTATATACTAAGATGGTATTTGCAAGAAGACCCTTGAGGGGCTGGGAAGGTGGCTCAGTGGTAGAGTGTTTGCCTTGCATGCATGAGGCCCTGGGTTCAATTCCTCAGCACCACATAAGCAGGGAAAAAAAAAAGCCAGAAGTGGTGCTATGGTTCAAGTGGTAGAATGCTAGCCTTGAGCTGAAAAACTGAGGGACAGCGCCCAGGCCCAGAGTTCAGGCCCCATGACTGGACCC